CGAGGGCACGTCACTCTTTTTCCGTCGCAGATCAATGTTTGCCTCTATACACAGCGATACAAATAACGAGTAATTTGACTAATAGTTGACAAAGTTTGATACATAGATTTTGATCCTTGTTAAAATAAATTAAAAGTGGATTTTTATTGAACCATAAATACTTCCCCTATCCTCCCCTCAATGTTGACTAAATAAAGAAATGGCGTGTCCGGCAGGGCTCTGACTCCAAGTTCAAATAGAGACGGCATTGATTTTATATGTCAAATCTGGATGATCCCTTCACTAGATATAGACACCACCGAGTTAAAATAATACAGGATCTTTCTAATCCACTAATAGGACCGTTGCAAGTACCCGCTCTAGATATGACTGGCTAAGAAATTCGTCAATCGCAACTGTTACAAGCCAATGTTATCGAGCAAGTCTAGCTAGGTCAAATCTGTTCCGCTACACATCTTTCCCAAAGCAGATTGATCTACCATTGTCATTAATGAATTTTCAAAAGCTTCCAACAATTCGCTTAAATATTAATTGCGGCTAACATCAATGCCCCTGATGTCCTAAAATCTGGAGAAGGTTGAGATCGCTTGCAAAATCAACATCACTGTAGTCTTCTTAGCTACTTTATCCGACATGGTGACAAAATTAATCGGGGTTTTCCTCAAGGATATTGATTAAAGATATAACGTCATCCTACCATTAGGAACATCCTAATAGTTTTACTTCCGAGCATTCAACTATATTTTACAATTCATCAAATGTTATATAAGATCTAATGTATTGTTTTTGTATTTTAATGTATTGTTATTAAGATTTAATGTATTTTTATTATATTTAATGTAATTTTTTTATGGGTTCTAATATTTAATGTATAGTTCGCAATATTTAATGCATGTTTACTACTATTTAATGATGTTTTTTTTATATTTATGTATGATTAAATATTTAATATATGATTAATTTTTAATGTGCATAGATTGAATCCAAATAAAATATTGTATTATTAAATAATAGCTAATCTAATATTGTTAATAAATACTATCTGTATATAAACCGCTATGTAAATAAAAATCAAATATAAGATAAAACATTATATGATAATTTAAGTTAATCAAAATATATTTTATAATAAAATAATCTTCTTTGCGATTGGATATTATTTAATGATTTACTTAGAATTGGGGATAATTTAAATGAAAGCTAATTAAATATAGTGGAATTTTTTTCTGACATTTCACTTCTGAGATAGGTTTTATTCTCCATAATGAAGTAAAAGTCTTCTCATTTGTGCACATATTAATTGGTAATATAAAATATACAATAATTCTAATATATTTGAGAAAAATTGAAAAATATAATATAAAGTATCCAATGCTATCATTGGTATTCTTAAGGATATTATATGAAAATCAATCTTTCATACTTAGATTTAATATTTTAAATTGATTAGTCTTCGGCCGGTTAATTTCTAGTAATCCTGTATTAAGTCCACACTAATAGTTAAATGATTTGTTTTTCTAGATGAATGAGCTTACGAATTTCGATCATAATCATAAACAATCACACAAATCTTATGAAATTCTTGTTGAGTAATAAAATAATTTCTTAATTCATTCCAAAGCAAAAAAAACATCGGTCATTTTGAATACAATATTGTATAAACTTCTGCTGAAATATCGCAGGCCATTTTGATATATCACCAAGAACTCTTTAAATATAATCTTTTAGATCGTACTATTTTTCAATTTTCATTAGAGATTTGAATTCTCTCTCTCAGAAGAAGTCCTTTTTTTCGTAATTTTTGAATATATATCTCTTGATATGCACTTTTGTTAAGAATGATATATTTGCGGCATATATATAATCATCATGATATTTTAAAAATGTAGGGTCATTATTTTTAGATCTTGCATCTCCATTGTTATTTACAGTTGATAATCGAAGTAAATGATTTTACGGATAAGTATTTTACTTAGAATATCCTATTAATATTTTTTGAATAGATATTCAGGTTAATGGTTTTTATTAATTTTTTAGAACCCATTTTAATTTTCAAATGGACAAATTAATTTTTTACATTAACATTTTAATAAAGACTTACATGGTTTACATATCTAACCGATTCATATAAGCTTCCACCTTCAAGAGTAATAAGATAGCTGACAGGCTTTCTCAAATAAATTTTTTGCATAATAAAAAATATAAATTGCTATACCTAAAGCCATAATATTTAACTATTACGTCTTTTTAAAAAATAACTAATAAATAAGGCTCACAGGGCCATTATCTCTAAAAGACTCTTCCAAGCCTTCAGCCTCTAGAATATTAATAGGGATTTCTAATTTTTTCTTAAATATTAAAAATAAAATTTTTATTTATCTTTTACAAAGTAATAATATTTTACCTTTTTAATTAAGGAGTTTAGAAGCATAAGTATGACATTTTTTTCTATAGAGATAATACTTATAATAGTATTATTTAGATATAGGGTAGCCAAGATTTTCCTAAGGGGGGGGGAATTAAAAAATTACTGGGGCCTTCTCCTCCAGACCCTATTTTAATGGGCCTTCATCCCGCTTTTGCCCGGCTTTCGGTCGGGTTACCCTTGTTTATATATAGTCATAAAATATTTTTACAAGATAGGAGGTTAATTTTAATAAAAAAATAAGCTTGGAACAAATATTAAATATATTTTTATTCGTTTATATAAAATATATTAAATTACTTGTATATACATTAATATAAAAGCATGGTGATAATTTATTCCAAACAAGTATAAAAAATTTATTTATAAAAAGTAAGTAGACAATAGTTGATATATTTCTATTATATAGAATTAGTTACAAAATACTAGGTAAAATTTCACATTTACAGACATATTTGACAGTTAGAGAATATATTACAGTTAATATTTTAACAAATTTTACTAATCAATGCTCTTGATAATAAGCAACAATTAGCAATCAATTATTTAACGCCATCTTTATTTTAAATAAAAAAGATTTTAAAAATTAATTTTTATGTCTTTAAAAGATATTTTCTGATGTCATTATCAATATTTTATAGTTTTCTGTAAAATATATAATTCGTTATATTTGTAAAAATTACTTGAGTGTCATATGATTATTGATAAAATCAAATATACTGTAAATCCTCGACATATAATATTACACTGTTTGTATTGTGCTTTAATTTTTTTTTTAATTTATGATTTAATTTTATCAATATTTTATAATTATATTTTACTTTTATTAAGATAAATAAATTAAAATTATTCACTTTATAAAAAATTATATTAGATATATTATTTAGTAATTTTAGTGTTTATAATACATTTCATTTTGTCTTAAGACTTAAAGCATTTGGAGTGGGGGGGGGGGGAGGACAAAGGGGGATATTTTTTATTTACTTAAAATGATATTAACAAAAAGTGATAAATTTCTGAAGGGGGGGGGATCATTTTATTGGATTATTTGTTATCCTAAAAAATATAATATTTAAAAAAAATTAAAAAATATTGTTATCAACTATGGCAGCGTGGAATTGCTAGTTCTTCAACTTAAGGAGACTTAGTTTTGAGAATAAAAACAGATTGGCTTAAGGCTGAAGTAATTTTATTTTTAATATGTAAGATTAAAAATCTATGTATAAACATAACCCAAAAAGTTAATTTATAAAATATAACACTATCTAAAAAATACTCAAATTTGAAGGAGCTCTCCAGAGGTTTAGGATTGGATCATGCATATACATTCCTCTATTTGGCTGAGCTATTTTAAATATATATTTAATTTTCATTCATCCTGAATGTAATTAATAATGGATGGTACAGATCCTTTTTTTAGATAAGCACATCCTATAACTGAGGGTATAAAACGATCCGCTGTAAAATCGGCTCGAAAATGTTTTGTAATTCTTATTTATTGCCTCTATCTATTTTCTTAATTAAATTTTATTCTTGATAATAGGGAATCTTAAAAAAATAATATTCATGTCTTAAAATATGAAAAGAATTTTATAATATAACAAATATGATGAATTAAAAAATTAATCTATAAAAAGAAATTGTTTTTATTAATTGAGGTATTGTTGCATGACAGCGACCCATACCAATCTATTAAATTAAAAGATAATTATCATCTTTAATATCTACATATAGAATAAAAATAAGAGGGAAACAATAGTGGTGGCCAATATTCACTAGTTTTATTGATGTCAAATTCGTGGAAAATCTAGAAATTTATGAATCAAGATGACAAGAAGAGTTTGCTTGCATTTAGGCGTGAAATTACTAACTACCTCCTTTGAACACCAAAATTGAAAATGATTTAAGTACCGAGCACGTAAGCCAGTTTGAATTACAGAGTGAAAGCCCTACTGATTTATCTAGACATTATTTATCTTAAATTATAGTTAGAAAAAGACGTAGATGCTGATATTGACATACGCCCTCAAGATATATGTGTCAAACATGTCAAATGGCACTTCATATTAAATGTTTCAAGGATTTTTGTAATATAAAAATTTACTCGTTTTTATTATAAGTTACAAAAAATATAAAGATATCTGTTGTTTTTAGATCTTATAGAATTATACATAGATTTTATCTTTTTTTAAAACTATTAATGGTTAACGGTACAGATATGCACCAGGCTAGATTTTCTATTTAGGATTTTTTTGGCTTATTTTTTTTAGAATATCCTATTTGAGAATTAATCAATATAATTTGAAAAATTGTGCATTTTTATCCACTAGAAAAATCTTGTATAAATATATGGATTAAGGTAATAGTTAATTTTAAATGAATCTAAAATTAACCTAATCTGAAATATTATATAGATACTCCGTTTTATTTAAATCTATATTTAGGAAAAAAAATCAAAATGACTTTACTTAAGTTTGGCGATGATTGACATTGAGAGCTTGTTAAGTACCAATGGAATTTCGAGAATTGATGGTGTACACATATCTAACATGGGTTTTTAATTTTTTTTTAACTCATGGGATTTGAAGTGAAACTTTATGTTTATGAATTAACCAAAGGTGTTGCTCAGTCGATGTCTAGCCTTTTACTAGGTTTTATCTTATAACATTTTTTATATTTATAAATCAAAAACAAAAAGGTTATTAAATTGAATTGTTTTTTTAAAATATTTTAATAATTTAAGGTTTTTAAATATTTTTTATATAATTTGTGAAAGCTAAATTTACATAAATATGTTATTTATTATTTTAGGATTTAATTTTATATTAATTATTGATTTTATTATAAATGGTCTTAATCACTTATATACAAAATTATTTATATCCAAATTTATTTATTATATATTATTAAATGTTAATTTAATATACAAATATATTCTAGTTTTTAAGCTGAATAAATATAACAAAATATATTAAGAATTATGCTAGATTTATCATCAATTCAATTTATCTTATTCTTATAAATCTCTAAGAAATATTGTATACAAAATAAAAATAAAGGGACTGCAATTGATGGAGTATGGCATACTTCAATAGTTGTATATGGCCATGAGTATTTTTATGGTAAAGGTGGCATACAAATATGTAATCCGGTAATATAATTTAATATTTTATAAATAATTGATATTGAATTATATAATTATAATATTAAATTTATTTCTTAATTAGAATTCTAGAATATAATCTTGAATATATACATAAGCATTCTAAGAAATTTTTAACTCTTAGTATATAAATTATTTTTTAACATCCCCTACCAACATATTCTAATAGATCTTTGTTTTTATAAATAAAAAATTTAAATTATTATTTTTACTTTATTTAATATAAAATATATGTATAATGATAAAAAATATTAGGAAGATTTATAATTTGCATATAATATTCTAAAATTAGAATGTTCATTAGAATTTATAGATATATTATTTACAATTTTTCACATAGTGTATTGTATATATCTTTGCCTTTTTTATAAGAAAGTTCATAGAATGGCCTTTTTTTAAAAAAAATAAAATAAATATTTTAATCAAATAAGCTCATTTTTTTAAATATTTAACCCTCTCCAAAAAAAGGCTAATTTTAAAAGTCAATTGTGTTTAGATGATACTTCTTAAATTTAACACAAAGCAGTTATGATTTGATTGTCAAAAATTATTCATATTCATATATATTTTATACTCTATTCTTGTTTTCTCCAAATTAAATATCACACAATTTCAATTATATAAAATTAATTTGAAAAGAAAGGTCTATGAAGTATTTCTATCATATTTTAATAATAAATAGATCATTAAATTTATGGTTATTGCCAAGGGCATTTCCAAGGAAAGAAGCTTGGGAATATTTGCCCCCCCCCCCTTGTAATTTTGATTGTTTTCTTAAGTTAAGCCTCCAAACCAATATATTACTATTATAAATAATAATTTAAAAGAAAAAAAAGTATATCAAGTTAATATTTTTTTCTCTTCAAATTATGATTATAATTTAAAATTATTAGGAAAAAATGCAATTTAATCATTTTTTTGAAAAAAGTGAATAAATCAATTTTTTTTCAATGTAACCATGCCAAAACACTGCAATAGGTGGGCCTAAGAGACTACTACACCTCCATATACATTACCCTCTACTCCAAAATTAAAAGAAAAAATGGAAATCCAATTCAAATCTATTGCATTTTAACGAATAATTACTATTTCTACTATTTTCTTTCTCCTATAATTATAGAGTTAATATTAACATATTTTATAACATATATATATACTGTATTTTGATATGGTTATTTATGTACAACACAGTAGGGTAGTCTTGAACGTTTTAGAATATATAATATGTTTATATAAAAACATTTTAATTTCTGCGAATCAAGAATGAAAGCAGGGCTGGTACCCATACATAATTGGGTTGTCTCAAGGAGGCGGCACTTTTTTGTACTACTTTTTATCATAACAAAAAAATAATTAACCACTCCAAATGACCTCCTTATTCCAATCCAATTATTCAAATGACGATATCGTCTTCATTACCTACTGCCCCCCCCCCCCCCCATAACAAATTCTTAGCCATTCCTATGTTTATTACCATTTTTTAATTTGAGATAATTTTCCTAATGGTATTTATAAAGTACTAGGTAGCAGGCACCTAAATAAAATTTCCTCTAGGCTTTGGGTGGAAAAGGTGTATTTTGCATGTTTTCAACTATTAATCAATTAGTACAATATTTAAAAGAGGGTAACAATAAATTTAATTATTAGAAACCTGCAGGTCTAGACCAACGCTAATAATTTTAAAAATAAACCCTTCTTTACATCAATGTTTATTGGTACATATATAGCATTAATAAATCTCTATTTATCTAGAATTATAATTACCACTTTTTGTTGAGTTTCAGAAAATTTAAAATTGTTTTTTTCGATATATTGGGTGCATGGACCAAACTAGGACGATTTTTTGTTCATACCACTCATAACCGGAGTAATATGGGTTATTTCGAAAAAATTAAATAGTGTAACAATTCAAACCGAGTAAACCGAACAGATATTAACCGTTATTATTTACGGAATCGACCGTTAAAAGAATTGTCACACGAATCTGAACCGAACTTTAAAAAAGGGCTGTCAACTGGTTTGGATTTTTAAAAAATATATATATTCTATCTCACACTCCCACGCACATATTCCCCCAAAAAAGTATATAATATATCGCTATATAGGACAAGCATCGAGAGATAAATAAGTAAAAGCTAATAATTTTAAAAATAATAATAATGACTAATTCTAAAATTTTTAGATAATTTTGCCACATAATTATTACAAAATTTGTTATACAAAATTTTTTTATACAATATATCATTAAAATATTATTTTATAAAAAGTGATAAACAAGAATCATTTTTTAAAAAATCTTTAACATACCCAAAGGCCTGCAATATGCGAACTTAAATACCTTAATATTTATGGGTAAAACCCCAAGAATATTGTACCCCTCCCCAAACAAAATCCAGACTACATCTATAAGAGAATCTCTCATTGAAATATCGATTAATTGGACAGTTATAGGCTGTAATACTTTAATTTTTAAAAGAATCTTTAGATCTAATCCTACATCCATCGCTATACTTTCTGTTATAGTTGGACGAATATTAAAATTTTTTTACAAATCCAATGATAATATTTTCAAGAAAATATATTATAGATGAATAGTTTTTATTTTAATTATCCTTTAATCCCAATTGAAAAAAAATGTAAATTAGATATAGCTAGCTAATTCAGAAAAACATCAATCATAAATCTATACAGTAAACATGGGATTATTCTTTGCCTGAAGATAGCGCGATATTATTCAAATTTTTGTTTATAAAAAAAATTGTTTGTTCTTAATAATATTTAATAAGAACCTTTAAATATTTTATTAGGAACAAAATGGATTTAAAAAAAACGACCTCTTACAATCACTAATAATCCACTGAAAAAATCAATACAGTCAAAACCGTTTAATTGCGAAAAAGCTTGGGACCAAAATATTCAAAAATTTCCCAATTATCCAATTAAAAATTAAAAATGAGTTTGTGTTTTTTATAAAAAATTTCATCTATATATATTTTAAGCATATAAACCCATCAAACTTTGTAATAAATAAATTTTTTAATTAATGTAACAACTATATATTTAATTTGAATAAGTTTTAAAATGAATAAAAAAACATAAATTTTAAAAAATTTATCTAGTATGTTTAAACATATGAATTTGATTTTTCCCACGTAAATAAACAAGAATTTCTAAATGCTAGGATTATTCAAGTTCAAACAATATTTTTATAAATAACTACCTTTGTTTAAATTTTCATATATTATAGAATAATCAATTTATTCTCTTTAACCTTCATTAATTTTTTTAAAATATCTAGTGGCCAATTAACATAAATATGAAAAAGCAGGCCAGGCCTGAAAATTTAAGAAATTAAAGTGTTTTGTTAGAAATTATTTTACTGTACATATGATTATATAATAAAGATATTTTTTTTGCTACTTATAAAAAATATTTTGTGATAAAAGTTAGCAAAGACTTGATGGTTAATCTCTAGCTTTCTCTGTGAATCCTGTTCCCTTGGATTATCCTGTGCCTATTTAAAAAAAAGGTATAATATCCATAAATCGCTTGATTTTTTTAGATTAAATTATCAGATCTCTAGATTACCTTAACCATTTTAGAGCTTTCGTTACCTTCTAAAATAAACTAATCCTTTTAAAATAAATTAATGTATTCTAATATTATAAATGTAAACGTATTAACAGGCCATCCTGGAATGAAAGTTTATTAATGTTTTGTTAACATAATATTTTATTATACATGCATCAAAATTTTTATAAAATAATGTAAGATTTAATAAAAAATATTTTGTGATAAGAGTTCTGCTAGACTCTGCAATAAATAATTTTCTACTATATTTTCTAGCTTTCTTAGTGAATCCTGGTCCCTTAGATGATCATGAGCATATTCAAGAAAAGTATAAAAACTATTAAGATTCTGATTTTTTTATTAAATGATCAGTTATCTCTAGATTCCCTTCGTCATTCTCAGAGCTTTCATAACCTTCTATAAAAGATTAGATTAATTAAAATTTTTGTTGAAGTAATTAAACCTTCCAATTCTAATCTTATTTGATTACAAATGTCCTGATCATTCAATATTCCATGACAGCTAGCATCATCATCGTGTAACGCATATTCTACAAATATGGGATCAAATTCATCTTCTTCTTTGTCAGTTAGTGCCATATCATCCTCCGATTCCCAATCATATGCCATAGACTTATCAAAAAAATTAGCTTTAAATAAAGCATTTTATGATTGTGGTACCTGTCACCTCACCCCATGTTAATTTTATAAGATAGAGGCTATCATAAAGTGTAAATCTTTTATAAAAAGAGGTGGTGTCATTTCCTTCCATCAATGTTATCATCTTTCTCATGATACCCTTTCTATATTGACATTTAAAGGATCTAATTGCACCTATGTTTAAAGGTTGAATTAGGGATGTTGTATTTGCCGGTAAAAAAAATAATTTTATATTATTAAATGTTATTTTTGCTTCGTGACAAGATGAATTCTCACAAAATAATAAAATTTTCTTCATTAATAAGGAATCCCATTCTCTTAGGATATCTTCAAAAGTTGAGGTTGTCATTCAGCTGCTTTTATTGGAGTTGTATTTCACTGGTAATTTTTTATTTTTAAAGCGCCTAGGGTTTTTAAATTTCTCTACAACATATAACTTTTTATCAGATCCATCCCCATTTATGATAAATAGAACTGAGACCTTTTCCTTGTCTGGTTTGAATCCCGGTGGTTGAGTTCCACTAAATTCCATTGTGCCATTTAATATTGCTCGGTAGTATAGTCCTGTCTTACCACATTTGTAAATATTACTCATTTGATTATCTTTAATCAGAGATGGGAGTGTAATTTTTGATCCATTAATTTGCATTAATAATATCTGCACTCCCTTTTTCATTGCAAACATTATGAAAATTTATATTCTGTCTTTTCCTAAATCTCTGCAACCAGCTGCTAGTAGGAATGCCTATAATTTATATA